ATTTGAAGCAGAGGCTTGGGGAGGTAATTAGCATTGCAGCAGGTGCAACCGCAGCAGTTGTCGTTGGACGGCAAGAAATGTGAATGAAAATTGCTGGAAAGTATGCAATGAATATTCCTTCATCTGCTCCTCGCCAGAAGCGCTCCAAATGTAGATGACTTGCACCGGGGGAGCAACTGCACTTCTGTTTTTCCATCGGCACGCCAACGCATTTGTTGCTGAATGTGAAAGACGAAACTTCGTTACACTCGCCGAATGCAGGCAAAATTCATGGATTCACAGTATTCATTTATTTACTTTAACAAAAAATTCATTTAAATAAAATGACTTCACTTTATATATTGCCTTACAATGGCATACAACTTTAATGAGGCTAATATATGCGCGGAAAATCAACTTTTAGAGCGATTGATGATGAATTCTATATGAGATATATGCAAAAAGAAAAAATATTAAATCAATATAATAATTTAATTCATAACTTTGTCGATATCCTTCGTACTTCAAGTCCCATTAACTAAAAATAGGCGTGAATGCCAACCGTTTACTTTGAACTTAACTTGCGAGTAACGCCAGATTTCACAGAGTTCTTGTGTTTAAGTCTTCAAAAATATCCTTGACTCCTAGGACGAATTCCGTTGCTGTGCATGGCTTTTGTCCTGCTCGGCAGGCGAACAATAAATGAGGCAAAGGCAAACAAAAGATGGGCCTTTACTGACACACAGTTGCGTATGAATGTCCTGGCTGAGCGTGTGTGTTGGTGCAGCCAAAGGACCATCGTATCTGCTTTCTTTTTCCCTTTTTCTAATTGAGCCATCTGTGTGTGCGTGCGTCTGCCGTCGTTTGTTTTGGCCACTGTGCGTGTTGTGCCTGTGTGGGTGTGGGTGTGAGTATGGGCGTTGGGCGTTGGGTGTTGGTGTGTGTTTGTCTTCAATCAGCGCTTGAGTTGGCAACATGTTGTTGTTTTCACTGCCTTGTTGCCCATCTTCGTCTGACTTTCGGCTAAAAATAATTTAACTCCATTGCTCGCTGGCTGGAACGTTAAATACACAGGCGAACACACACAAAGCCGAGGCCTGAATTTTGTCAAATTTAACGCAGGAAAATCTCTCGCTTTCCCTCCCAGTTGGTCCAAAAATAATGGCCAGAGTTCCAGGAGCTGTGTTGTGTTTGCGCTACGCTTTTATCATTTAATTTTGGATACTTCAGTTGGGGTGCGTGCCAAAGACGAAATCAATAAAACCGGCAAGAGTCCACGTGTTCCGGCCACGAGCGGTTCGCATTAACGGATTTTCACTGCACCCAAAACGAGGCTACCCCCAGCCCAGCATTTATAAAATTCAAATGGAAATGACATTTATTGGGAACTCGAGCTGATCAATGGATTAGATATCACCGCCATTATTACTCCAATTATACGATTAAAGCTGCCAGTCGCCGAACGAATAATGATGCAAAAATATTGCTTTAAACACGATACCTAGTCGACCGATTTTGCATATTTTATGCAGCAAATTAAATTTATTTTATTCATAATGCTTACATAAGGCAGCGTGTGATTTGATTTATTACCAGCGCATAAGGCTTTAATTAACTTGATTTTGTTTTGTCGATGTTATGCACGATGGAATTTTAGAAACCATAATTAAATTTCAAAACAAATACCGGAAAGTGTCCTTGTAAAATATTTATTTGAGTAATTTGCTTGCAGCTATGTTGGTTTTTCCTATTCGTTTGCTAGGTTATTACATATTGTAACTTAATATATTTGCATAGTTTACCTAAAGCAGCCCAATTAATTAAATTAAAATTTATTTACAATAGCACATTTGAAATACACCCGGGAATGAGTTAAACTATGAACTATGCGCTAAATGTAGAATAAAATTCCTAGGAAATGTGAAAGAGATTCCATTGGAATGAAATGTAAGTTACCCAGAGGGAAGATATCTTTTGGCTTAAATTTGATTCGAAAATTTTTCGCAAGCGGTCTAGAACCCACTAGAAAATCCCCAAAGGCTCGTAGATAGAATAGAATGCTATAAAAGCAACCGAATTTATTCGCCACGCTTAACCGCCTTAAATATTTAAGCTTGTTTGCCCTCAATTGCAAAATACTGACCTAGAAAGTTGCCTCCGCCAATCGTCTTCCGCCGGACTACGTCCTCCGAATCCTGTCCGCCGTATTCTGTCAGCCGTCATCAGTCCGCGTCCGGTGTCTGGAGTCCTTCGGGTGTTCGTGTTTGTCAGCGGATACTTTGTTCTCAGTGGCATATAGACTATATGGTCTAGATGGCCAACGTTAAGCACACAATGCGGTCTTGGGCTCCTGGGCTCTTGTACTTTATTTATTTACCATCAACACAATTTATTTAACGTAACGTAAAATTTCACGGCACATTGCAAGGGTCCTGGGGCCACTGAACATTTTCCACTAAATAGTTTTACGTTTCCTGGCAAATTGATGTAGCCTCGTTGGCACAAAGTCCTTGTCCTCCTTTCCAACCGCCCTAGCCAAAAAAAAAGGAATGGAAAGTAGGATGTCTGAAGTCAATTTGTTGGCTTTCCTCTGAGCTTCGGGTCGAGCATCTTGCCAAAATGTTTACTTGCATTGAATAATTCAGTCGGCAAAGAATGTACACCAAAGAGTAGACATGCCCCGGGGGGGAAAAGTCGTCGGAGAAGCCGGAAAATCGGAAAAGCGGAAAAGTCGTCGTCGGGCCGCTCGGCTGTGAGTGCAGTCAGAATGCTAGATATGTGCCAGACAGTTTGACACATGCTTGCCAAGTCAAATTGCATTAGGCTTCCATTTGGGCAATTGCCAAATAGTCATGCAAAAATACTTTGCTCTGTGGGTGGCTGTCGCTATTTCCAGCAATTAATAAAGTGATTATGCCCCAAGCGCATTTCCATGAATTTGTTCTCGTAAAACGTTGTCGCCAACAATCACACGACCTTCTACGAGTTCGTCGATCATTGATGAAGCTCATTTAACCTTTTAATTGTGCAGCTTTGTGAACGGCAGCCAAAGAATTCCACGGCGGTGAAAACTTTAATTGTACAGTATTTTTAGGCCCATTACGCAAGTTTAAATGCCCATACTAAAATAAAACAAGATAGAATGCTATAGTCGAGTTCCCCGACTACCAGATACCCGTTACCCAAGATTTTCTGGAATATAGGTAGAAATTCAATAGAAAATAATTTTAAGTTGAGTTATGGACTATGCCACTTCAAGATCCGATTAAGATAAGTTGAGTTATGGACTATAGAACTTCAGTCTTTGGACATTTTTGAATTTCCACAACATCATAACATCAGAAAAAATTACAAAAAAATGTAAAAAAAATGCCACTTCAAGATCCCATTAAGATAAGTTGAGTTATGGACTATAGAACTTCAGTCTTATCAGAGAAAATAATGCAATTGATAGCGTAAGACTTGAATGTTCATAACATTTGGTTTTTTTAGTTTCAATAAAGTTTGCTTCAATTTGTGCACGTGCAAAATGCAACGAGAGTGGTTTTAGGCATAAAATAGAACGAAAAATAACATTGAGTTATAATCGTTTAATTAAAATAAATATTTACGCAAGAGCACAGCTTATAAATGTTATGGCACAACTTTTAATCTGCTTAAAGTTGCTGCACAAATAAATATACAAAATGCAGTTTCAATGATTGACAGTCTAAACTTTGCGTAGCACACAATTGCACTTTGTTAGCCATTGAAATGTGTCTATAAATATACCAAGAATTATTCTTGCTAATTAGAGATGTTTTGGGTACGTTCGGCTGAAATATTTCGCTTCACTTAAACTAAAGTCACAAGTAGGTGGTGGCACTAAATTACGAGCATATCCGAAGGAATTGTGAATAGAATAAACCCACCTTGACTTGGCAGCGAATTTAAACTTGCCCCTTGCCTTTGGGGGTTAATGAGTGTATAAATTGAGCACAAAAGCCGGGCCAGGCAATAAGCGCATTAATTGCCAGTGCTGAAAGGTACCTGGATAAATGGTCGCTGGGCAACGGGGCGTATGAGCGATGTCAAGTGGCCGCAATTAAAGTGAAATTAGCCACTCTAGCGGTTTCTCCGCTTCTTTTTTCTTTTTCTTTCCAGGAAGAGCCAATAAGAGCAGCACATCTGGAGGAGAGCACTCCGGCCCATATTAGACATCAAAGACGGCAACAACGGCGGCCAGAATTTTCTCACGTTTGGATAGTGTCGAGGAGGTGCAACGCGGTCGCAGTGGCAGCGCTGTGGGAATAACGCCGCCGGGCGGACCAGGAGCGGTATCTGCCGGTGTGGGATCAGGAGCAGGAGCGGGTGTGGGAGCGGGAGCGGTAGCGGGAGCTGGAGCGGGTACGGTGGCAGCGGCAGTGGTGGCATCGGGTTCACCGGCCAGGAGTGGCCAGCAGCAGTACGTCGTTGGAGGCGGCGTCGGCGGCGGTGGAGGAGGCGTGGCGGGTTCGGCTGCTGTGGGCGTGGCAGGTGCAGGAGGCGTGGCAGCGGTACGACAACGTAGCGCCAGCACGGTGCTCGACATTAATTTGCCGCAGCGCAAAGTGTCCGTTGGCGGTGGCTTGGCCGGACCACCATCTCCAGTTATACGGAATGGTTTCAGTGTCTACGATCCGCCGCAATCATTGATTTCCAGCCGGCACGCCAACTTTAATGGCCAGGGAGTGGGTGGGGGCGGGGCAGCAGCAGGCCCAGTAGCATCCGGCATTGGAATAGCGACCACTAATCGCGGACGACTGTCCATCAGTGCGGCATCGGGCGGACAACTCATCGCATCATCATCTCAGCTATCGGTGGGAGCTGGAGCAGCAGCTGGAGCGGGATTAAGTGCAACAACAAGTGGGACGAGCGCAACACTCGGGGAACCAGCGGGCGGAAGTGGATCGGCGCCCACCATCGGCGGCAACGCACCCACCCAGCCAGGACCCAAGCGGCAGGGCAGCTTCTCGAATGTATTCTCAAAGCTAATCGATGGTATGCCCGCCGGCACAATGTTTGCCAAATTCAAGAGCACCAACGTGGCCGCCTCCACAGCCACTCAAGCAGTCGCCGATGGCAATCCCATTACGCAGTACTTTGAAATCGGCAAGCCAGTGGCCTGTGCCGGCCCAGAATTGGTGTGGCGCATCCATGATGCGTACCGCAAGAGCGACAACAAGGTGAGTGTTTCCAGCCAGTGGCATTCTGGCCAAATTGGGATGTGGGCTTACCTTTAACGGGAAAAGGGAATTTTCGAAAATCAATAGCCTGCGCTTTAACTTGTTTCCTTTGAAGTTGCCTAAATGTTTCCTAACATTTTTCCAAACTTAATTAAAATGTCTTGAAATCACTTTCATTTGACGTTTTAAAAGTAGCTAAGCAATAATGCCTAACAGTAGGAAACGCAATTTCTAACTCATGCTCAGTTTTGAAAAATATTTCAAGTACAAGGATGTCACATATTTTTGATTCTCATAAGCCAAGTTTGTGGAGCTAAGAAAGTAAAAGTTCCTGCTACTTTCAAATACACTTTGATTCAAGTTTCAGGACGTAACGTTGCAAGGATAACACCACACGCCCTATCCTTTCAACTCTTTTCCTAACGTAATTGCATCCCCGTTCGCAGGAATGTTCGGTGTTTATATTCGAGAAGAAAATTGCGGAGAAGCTGCACAAGCCGCGTCGCAAGGAGACCATAACGGAGCTGCTAAAGAGTTCGGTGAAGACACTGGAGCGCTTCCGCCATCCGCGGGTGAGTGTGTCCTTCGGCGCCTTCCTGCGGGAGGGCGCACCCCCAATCGATAATTACTTTTCCAGTAAGATCCTTTCCTTCCCCTCCCGCAGATACTGCAAATCTATCACACGGTCGAGGAAAGTGCGGATACGCTGGCCTTCGCCTCGGAGCCCATCTTCGCCAGCCTCTCGAACGTCCTGGCTTTTCACGTGAGTTTTGGCCACAGTTTTAGTTGTCCGTCGTCCGTTGTCCGTTGCCAGTTGGCAGTTTGAGTTGCTGACAGCGACACGGACATGCAATTTGTGCTGTCGCCTGGCTGCCTTTCAGTTCTCCATTGGTTACGGCCTTTTTCTGCCCATTTACGCTTTTTACTGCCCGCACACATAACGAAATCAATAGGACATCGCATTAAGCTTTCTGTTTGCTAAAAAACATTTGTTTACAGTTGCACATTTACCCTACATGACACTCTTTAATTGTTAATGATTAGTTTATCAATATTATTTGTGTCCAAAGGTTATTCAAAGGTTTTCTACAAATATTGTAGTTGATCAGTTGGCACTGAGAAATATTCAGTGACTTCGAATAAATATTTTATATTTTGTGGGTATATATTTACAATCTTATGGTTATATATTATTTTTTTCTTATATTTTTATTTACAATCTGTCTTAAGCAAGTATGGCAATAAGTAAATTTGATTAACAGAGGCAGTATATTCATTATATTTGTTTAAGTCAGAAGCAGAGATCAAAATGTTGTGTATATTTTTCTTGTATTTCATTATACACACATCAAAATTTGCATTTTCAAATGGACCACAGATTTTTTTGCGGTGCAGGTCCACGTCCACTGGACGTTCGTCTAGAATTTCCCATGTAGAGCGAAACAATGTTTAGACTGTTGGGTTGATTGTGGCACTGTTTCTGGTGTTGCTGCTGCTGCAGTAGATTTTGCTCGCTCCTGTGTTTTGTTAAAGTTTTCGCAGGCCAGCGGAGTGCATAGCTCGACTTTCAGTACAATGGCACAGTGGGCGGGGCTTGGGAAGCAGGGGGCGTGGCTCTTGGCTAGTGGTTAGTGCAAAACTTGGCAACTGATGGGTATGCATGACAGAAACACAAACGCCAGCTCTCGCACACAACTAAATCGAATTACACACACGGCCAGTCTGTGTCTGTGTGGCAGTGTGTGTGAGTGATTGCGATTGTGGCTGTGTGTGCATGTGTGTGTGGGAAAGTTTACGCTACCAAGATTGAGTCAATAAAGAGCTTCAGTTGGTCCGCACAGCTCGGAAATTGATACGCACACTCACACACACACCAACACACACACAGTGCGTGTCACAACTTAAAGGTGGTTTAATATTGGATTAAATTAGTTGCTCAACTCAAATTGATTTTTGTATAAACGAAAAGTTAAGCGGTGAACTTACTTTACTTAGTTTTAGTAGGAAGAGAAGAAAAAGTGTTCAATATTTTCCGCATACTTTTTAAGGCTTCGTAATGCACTCGAATCCTATGCTTTTTTAGCCTTTTATAAAGAGTTCCTATTTTGTACTTAGAAAACTACCTACAGTGCTGGAACGCACTGTACCCCTCCTGTTTAGATCCGTTGCAAAACAACAGCATCTCCTCCTTGAACCCACATAAACAGCTCAACAATAACCGAAAGAACAGAACCCCCTGAATAGTTTTTAGTTTCTATGAAAGTCGATTCGAGTTAAATTACGTTGAAAATTGCAAAAAGGTAAAACTCAAAGCACTCACATGCACAAACAAAACAATCGGAAAATAGGTAAAGGAAAATCCATTGGAAAAACGAAAAGCCAAGGTCGTGCAGGCAACAGAAACACGAGAGATTTGAATGGCTTGTCAACAAATGCAATGCCTGTGAATGGGAATTCAGGGGAACTGAGCTGAAAGTAGTTTGCCATCCAAGCCGAGGATGAAACAAATTTAGGGACAGCCGACTAGCTCACTCCAGGATTTGGCCCTAACGTTCTATTACCTGTCCGCAAGGTACACTGCAACATATTAGGTAGTTTTTAAGGTTTAGCAACTAGGCTATGCAACTAGGTGGTCAAATATATTAGCTATTATGGCCAAGGCGATAATAAATACTCTACTTATTCATGTGTTTAAAATGTGGTTCTAAGATTTATAGTTAATATTATGGATACTTCATTTACATACCTATTTATATCGATTGAACTCCATGCAGTTAAATAAGCGTGTATAAAATATAGTTGTACTACTGCTCTATTTATTTGACTTCGAGCATTGGTGATTTATCCCCAAAATGTATCCCTGTAGGAGTCGAAGACGTACGAGGCGACCAATGTGGCGCCGGCGGCGGGCGGAGCAGCTGCGTCCCAGGCGCAGGCGGCGGCGAACACCTTGCCCCAGCGACCGGCCCATGCCAAGGAATACAATTTCTTGGACATGGAGCTGAAGTACGGCTTTCTCCAGGTGAGTGGCACCAGCAGCCTGCTGTTTCTCAGGACAGGTGGCGTGACCCAAGCGATTTGCCGCCGTTTTCTTATTTTCCAGCTGACCGAGGCATTGGCGTATCTGCACTATTCTGGTCACGTAATTCATCGCAATGTGTGTCCATCATCTATACTAATAACCAAGCGGGGTATATGGAAACTGGCCGGCATGGAATATGTGGGTGAGTGCGGTCTGGGCTTAGGAGTCCAAAATTGAAATGGATTGGCCAGGTCAGCAATTTGTATTCATATTCACATACTCGGTTTGCAGAGCGAATGAATGAGAACGATTTGAACAGCTCCATTCCGTGCCCGCCGTGGAGCAATCGGGTGTCCAAGATGGCCCAGCCGAATCTCGACTTTATGGGTGAGTAAATACAGATTGTCCACGGCATGTGACCTCCTAATTAGGGAATTTATTAGGGAAGCATGGCTACTTCTTTTGCTTAGACTTAGACTTTATAGATGACCCACTCAAGTGTTTTTGAAACTATTTCTCATTTCACTACTAACTACATCCAGCTAAAGAGTTCGTTACTAACTTGTATCTCTATGTTTTTCCCAAACCTATCCCCACCAGCTCCCGAAACTCAGTCAACGTCCAAGTGCAGTTTGCTCAGCGATATGTTCTCGCTGGGAATGGTGATCTGTGCGGTCTTCAACAACGGAAGACCACTGATACAGGCCGGCAACTCCACCTCCAACTATGCCAAGCAAATGGAAACGGTGGGTAAACAATTTCTAATTTCTGAATGCCCGGGAAGCGATGGACTTGGGCAACTTTCAGGGGGCAGCGACAAGTGCCAATTGGATGGATGAAAAGTTTTTGAGCCGAACGCAAAACGCTTGGATGGGCTTGTTTGCGCGCTGTAATTAGATTCGCAGCTTTGTCAAATGCAAATGTAATCAAAAAGTCCACTTGAAACTCTAATTATTTTGCCACTTGTGCGGACAGGTGACGGAGTAGCAGCAGCAGCAGCAGCAGCAGCAGCAGGAGTACCAGGATTCAGCAACAGCGTTTATCCCGCGGGCGCTAGTCATTAAAACTTTTCGTCCTGTCCTGGGCATTCGGATGTAGCTTCCCAAAGTCCCCAAGTGGTTTCCAATGTTGTGGCAAAGTTTGTTTCGCTTATGCTTATGAAGAGTTTTTGGCACCATCCCCGTTTCAGCTGGATGATCTGGTCCACAAGCTGATGCCCAGACTGCCAATTGCCCTGCAGGAGGCCACTTCGCGCATGGCCAGTCGGGATGCAACCGCCAGGCCCACCGCCCAACTGCTGCAGCTCATCAAGTACTTCATGTGAGTGGCCAAATTAATTAAGTTCCAGCTAAGCAACAGGCAGCACTGCAAACTGTGTGCCAATTTGCACAGTTGCGTTCAAAGTTGCTGTTTCTCTCTATGTTTGTGTTTGAAATGAAATTGACACCTGTTGGGAGCACACACTCGCACATTCACTAACCCCGGCGACACGCAATCTCTAAGCCAATTTGTACCTGTAGCTGAAATTCAATTGAAGGTCTTATTTTTTCCACCCACCAAAGCACTCATCCTGCGTCCTACCGCCATCCCCAAGCAACTCACACACACACACACACCTTAATTACGTCTGTTTGCCAAATGAGAGCGGTAATCAGACCTGAAAGACATACACAATGCAAAGCGAATGGAATCTGTGCACTGGGAATAATTTGTTGCAAGATGTTGCAAAAATTGTAAGCAAGTAGAGCTGTTAGACTCGAGATCTTTTTCTAAATTAATACAAAAAGGAAGACCTTATCAAGGTAAATTAAATGTTAGCTGTGACCTTACGGCCAGGTCTTAAATGTCACAACACACGAAGAAATTTCACGTTATTCAGATATTTAAATTTGAAATTCATAAATAATGCAATCAAAGTCTGTGCTGCTATAAATCTTATTGTAGCGTTTTTAAACTCGCAAACAATGTTGTTTGAAGTGCTGAAGAATTCGCGTCAATTCATTATTAGTTTGATAATAGGATTAATATATAATATATTTATATATATAATAGATAATATATTTTATGGCGTTAGTGTATGGGATTCACTGGTTTCTCTGAGTGTAAGGCGTCGCTGCTTTTCAGCTGATTGTGCTGTGGCAGTTGAGCTGGAGTGGCACGCCTCCTCAGCCCAAGCTGACTGACTCTGGGATTTATGACGACAGCATCTGTTGCGTTGCCCTGCCTCCCATTGAGATCTTGAAAAAGGGGGGATGGCGACGTGCCGCGTTTAGACAAACAAAGCCAAAGACGATGGAGATGGCAATGGCAATGGCGATGGCAAAGGAGAGGTGGCGACTGAAGTGGCTGCACAGCGCAACCGAAGCATGAAGTACATCAGTGATCAGCTAGGGGATACCGCAGCCTGTCTCCAGGATATATGCCCCATAGGTGAATTGAATGTAAAGCAGCGCAAAACGTTGGCAATTGTGTGGTAATGCTGCTGCTATTGCGCTGCGAATTGATGCCACATTGGCTGTTCATAAAAGCAATTTCATGGAGCATGGATGGGTCAAGAAAGTGCTTGTTTATTCGTTTTATTCGTTTACACATGTTGATTGCTTATTCTGAACTGGTTGCTTATTCCTAACTAGCTGACAAGGGCTGAATAAATTTGTGGATCTTTTACCTTTACTTGAGTTTAAAGTTATCTGCCGGTTATCTGACCAATTTAAATGGTGCATTTTTAAAATATTTTCTTATTAAATACGAAACTTACTTGCAATATCACATATAAAATGTATTTAAATCATACATTATTAAGATGTGTCTTAATTACATACGAAACGTTCTTGCAATGTTAAATTTTATATGACCAATACATTTTTAAAATGTTTCCCTATTAAGCACGAAACCTACTTGCAATATCACATTTTAAATGTTTTATTTATATATGCGTTTATTTCTGCATTCAGCGGTTTTTTGAACATGAAGTCTGTACTTATTATCTCAGTTTATTATGTGTCTTAATTAGTGTCCATAATTATGTACGCTGGAATCCACCCATATACCCCCTGCTACCACCTACGCATCTAAGCGCGCTGTCAGCGGCAACAGTGAAGGCAACAGCATGCTGCCCCATCAGTTTTGCCTGCCCCACCGGAAAAGCACCACCGGCATCAGAATCTCAGTCATCTCGACGTCCCATCCTTATCCGCGTGCCGCCTCCTTTGTCGTTGTTAGTCATCCAGTCAGTTAGTCAGTCAGGTTGGTGGCAGCACTTTGAAGTTAATTTAAATGTTGTCAACATTTTCTGCGTTTTTAGCAGCGTATGCAAATGGCTCGAGTGTCTTGGCAATCAGTGGCAAGCTAACTTTCCTCCATTTAAGCTCAAGTAGGTGATTTAAAATGGGGTTTTTCCGCTTGGTCGATTGCCCTGATTAACTCGACAAGAGGAGCGAAATCAACTGGTCCACGCTGCGTATACGCAATGTGATTTGATTTCATTGTTTAACCGAGCGAAACTAGGAACAGCGTCGCCATAGCTCGCTTTTATACCATATGCCATTTGCTGAACGATTTGTTTTATTCATTCAGGCATTCAGGCATTCAGCTGTTTGGTGCCTGATAAACGGGCATTCAAAATGATTAGCGATGCGGGTCGAGAGTAAACACTTTTTGGCAATTAAATTTCAGCAATTTGATTTACATAACAATGAAAAGAATTTCGAATTCCATTTTAGAAAGTTGCTGGCGCCTCTGCGTCGCATTGCGGGGACTTAATATTTTAATTTCAGTGGCACAGAGATAAATATTGCCGTTGGCTTATTTTTTGTGGGTTTTCCTGTGGCATTTCCATTCGGTGTTGCCTGCAGCTTAATGTTTAATTGATGCCATTTACCAACTAATCCGGGCTACAATTAAGCACTTAAAGCAATGGCACACAATTTGCGTATTTATACATTTTCATGAAAAGTGTGGACGTAAGGTAATTTAATTTGCTGCCATTGAAATTAATGTTGTCGTATTTTCTTCGTGTTTCCCAGCGATACGCCTATAAACGCTTTGAAATTCCTGGACGTGGTCAACATGAAGGACACGCAGCAGAAGTCCCAGTTCTACAAGACCACCTTGATCGAGGCCATGCCGATGATACCACGTGTAAGTGGCCCACTTCCTCATCCAATTTTGTCCACCGGAAACGGATGCAGTCCGCTGGACGAACATTTTTTTGGCCAACAAACTGGCAGCACATTAATCATTAATGGCGTCAAGTTGAGCGCTTTACGGCCAAACAATTTGTGAATTACGAGCCGTTTTATGTCGGTTGCAAAAATGTTGCGACTGTCCTTTTGTTTTCTGTTCAGTTAGAAACGGAAGGAGTCTGTCACTCTGTTCCTTTCCTATTTTATTTCGCCCATTGTCTGAGGCCGCCTAATGATGGTTTAGCATTGGCAATTGAAGTGACATAGACTGGTTAATGACTTTCCGCATTTCGCCTTCGATTCTGTCGTTGTTATCCATAGAAACTCTGGTGGCAGAACATCTGGCCCATGCTCAAGTCCGAGATCAACAATAATGAGGTCCTTGCCGCAGTCCTGCAGCCGGTCATGCTCTTCGTCCAGGAGGCCACGCTCACGGAGTACGACACCCTCATGTCGGCCACCATGAAGTAAGTAGTCTTATTTATAGCCTATTGCAAAACGGGGCAATGGTATCGAGGTATTGAATGCCCGACTGCCAGGCCACAAATATAAAGCCAGCTTCGAGTCCTTACCGCACCGGAAGGGGCTCTCAAACATACGTATAGTGGTCAGACGGGCTTTATTTATAATTCATTTAGTGCAAACAGGGAATTAAGAGCTGCAGTGAATAGAGACAAACTGAAATTGATATAAATATGTGTTTTGGTATTTATAGACTGGTGTATATTCAAACAAATCGAATAGCAGTGATATAATATAGTTATTATTAAAATAAAACAGGCGTAATTAATACTTTAGCATACAATGCAGTTCAAAGCTCAATAACATGAGTACAAATTATGCAAATAATAGTCAAAAGCATTTGGGTATATTTTAATAAAGTATTTATTAAATTTAGGAAAAATGCTTGAGAGCCAGCAAAATGACAGCAATTTATACATTTTAGGTGGAGCCCTTCTATTCCATATTATGGATACTACTAAAGACAGTCCGTTGAAAAAGTTTCCCAATCGCGTCATTTTTCATCTGGAATCCCTTCTGTTCTTGTCTAGCGATGAGAACTTTCGTGTTTGAACAATTGAAAAACTTTCGCGACACTTCTTTTTATGTTATTCAATTTTCATGACGTTTTATTGCGCCCACTGCGACAGGCGACAGTTCGTATTGTAATTTATAGAGCTTGACTGGGAAACTTTGCCTGGGTCCTAGGATGGCTGAGGGGCACGGAGTGCTCACCTTTGGTGGTGAGCCGTACATAAATTAGTAAAACACACACAAAAGCCCGCACCAGAGAGTTCACTACTTTGCCGAAAGTTGGCGACAAACTTTGTGGCCACTTGTAAGGCGCTTATTGACACCCGGGCCATGAAAAAGAAACGCAACTTTTCACACGCATTTGTATTTAGTAATTTTCGAGTGATATATACACACTTATATATCGGTGAGGATAGCTACTCAAACTAATCAAATCTGTGATGTATCCTAGAGTCATCTACAATACGCCGAAATCCATTCAGGCCAGCGTTACAATACTCGAGAATTTGCATTTGATTATCGAGAAGACGAAGCCGGAGGATGTCACCACAGACATAATGCCCATGTTGTTCTACTCCTTCGATGGCTCCACGATACAAGTGCAGGTGAGTGCTCCACTCGGATATGCAAATCACTTCAGACTGGAAATGGAAATGGAAATGGGTTGGCGGAGCTGATTGTGTAATTACGGCAGCAATTTCTTAATTAACTGCGACTCAGAAGCTGACTCAGAGCACAAAAGTGCCCGCGCAAGTGAATTTGCATTTTCTTTCCGCAAATGTTCCTCCAGCGGCAGGGAAATTCAAATTCAATAAATGTGGAAAAAATGTTGAGCACCCTGAAAAGTCAGCACTCCCATTAGGTGCTGAAAATGCATAATTTAAAAGTCCATTTAAATGTTTTCCCTATTTATTTGTGTAAAATACGTTTTTGAATTGGTATAACTCCGCTTTCGACCCTCGTATTTCAAGTAAACTTTATTTTATTAATATTTTATTATTATTTTACAATTCCGCACCCAGAGCGCCGCCGTGGTGGCTGTGGCCAATGTGTTTGATAGCATCGATGAGCTCTCCATACGCCGCATGGTCCTGCCCAAGGTGAAGCAGGTGTTCGAGAAGAACATAACCGATCCGAAGATTGTGCAGAACGTGCTGATGTGCATCGAGCGAGTGATGGATCGCATGGAGCGGGCGCAGGTGGGTCGTCCGGACACCAAGCTTCATATCATGGCATATATCATATACCCCATATATCTATCTCTGTGGCAGGTCATGGATGAGGTTCTGCCGCTGCTGGCGAACATTCGCATTCCCGATCCCGATATCATCATGCGTACTGTGCGTAAGTTGAACCACAATGCCTTCGGCACACAGTTGCACACACACACACACACACCTTCAGTTGTGTTGTTTTTTAAGCCATTATCGAAAACTAATTAAAGTGCATGCAGCACAATTTTCCCCTTGGCTCAATGCGAACAATGCAGATTTACACGAGTTTATCTGCATGCTAGCATGGATAAATACAAATTGCCCACAGAGGTTTACTTTGGATCGAATTTTCCACAGGCTGACAATTTGATTTGGTTCTCTGCATAAGGGGGAGCTTAATTGTTAACAGCTGGTTGGCTTTATTTTATAAACTACCCGATTTGATTACTCACTGATTTAGTGCGACAAATATATGCATTGAGACGACTTTATCTGTGACTTACGCTTGGGGGAAAACTGAGAGTTCCCTTTAATTATGATTGATTGAAAATGCCTTTAAACTGCATCTCAAGTAATAAATTGAGCTTCATATGAGTTAATTGCTTGACTATGTTTTCTTATAAGCTACAAATTCACATAAATCGGATTCAATAACATATTTCAACTTATAGACTTAAATGTAGATACTTAACTACTTTTGGATGTGTGATTTATATTTCACTTGCTTTATCCAAGACTTAAATATATTAAATGCTATAGTGATGTTAACAACATAACGCCAAGTAATCGGCTCTTGTAATTGAATTTCTCAGGCATCTACCATAAACTGTTTGTGGACAAAACCTACGGACTGACCGTGGAGACGATGGCCACCAATGTGCTGCCCCTGCTCATTCCGCACACGGTGAATCCTTCACTCAATTTCGAGCAATATTGCTACCTGCTGGAGGTAAGTGTGCCTGGGTAGTTGCTTCAGATGGAGTTTTCCCCGACTAATGGTGTTTTCGGGCTTCCAGGTGCTGCAGCAGATGCTGGAGGCCATCGATCGGCAGCAGAGGAACAAGTTGAAGCTGGACAACCTGTCGATGGCCTCGCCGGAACGCCACCGCACCCTGCGCCACCAGTTCTCCACGGACAACATGAATGCGCCACCCTTCAACATTCCCAACTTGCGCATAGATCAACGCAAGACGTCCAGTGCCGAGGACATGGCCCGCAAAAATTCTGGCGGTGAGTGGATCCTTCGAGTTCTAAATGCAAATATGTATATTTGGTCTGGGGAATTTCCCGAGAAAAGTGCCAGGTCTCTTCAACTACAGTATGGGTTTTATATTTAACTTTAATATCATGTCCTTCAAGCTCAGAAATACTCTGAAATAGCATTTCTGGTTCATTTATAATGAATTAGACACATTTACAATCGAACGCAAATACACATTTACTAATGCCCCATTCATAATTGATGCACAAACTACTGAAAAGTAATCAGAATGAAGGTACTTACAGCTTGGGTATCCTTAAACATGTATAGATTTTGATCTGAATCTGAATGTACAGGACTCCCTGCCCACTTCATTGGTCGGTTGAGTGGCCGCCTGTGGGCATGTGTAATTGGAAATTTCGTCGTGATTTCAATTTGATATTCATCGAACGTGACAGGAGCCGTTTGTCCTGGCCACTAATCAGCCGGTCTCCTCCGAGCATCGGGCCATTGTGCCGGGTATTTAATTGTATTATCCTGGCCATGATAATTTTATAATGATGAACATGCAAATCAAAAGCACCGCCCGGAGCCGGTTATTATCGGTGGTGGAAACACAGGCTGCACTGCCTAATGAACTTTCCCATAATGATGATTTATTATGATGGCCCCAATCGCCGGCAGACACGAGGCAGCTCAGCCAAGTTCACCTCGACCCACTGTTCCACTGAAAATTCGCCACTGCCACCGAGGTCAGAGCCACCTTACCACTGCCATTGGCCCACTTGCTAACTTCCATCTTGCCACCTTGCCACCTGTCTACTGCTGCTGCATATTGCCACTTAAAAATTACGAACAAGGTCAGACCGCATTCATGAATTCAGAATGCAGCCACCCCAGTAGAAAGTTATTTAATCCCTGTAAGCACCAAGTAAAGCCTTGTAGATCAGGCTATTAAAATCTTAAAGCCTGAACCAAAAGCACATCTAGCTCTTGGAATGACAAAATACTGGAATATTCTCATTCAATTTTAACTCGAGTAAAGAGATTTCCTTTGAAATTGTCAATCTATTGATGTGTTTATTGCATTTTCATTCATATAACTCATGCGGCAGGTGCGCCCAATTAACTATTTCTTTTAAGTTTCTTTACTCGGGATATTCAGCTATAAGTGTAGTTTTCTTTTTTGGAACTAAGAATTACAATTTGTAACATTCTTCAAAGTAAGCTACTAGCAGTTTTAACCAAAAACCACGAAGGCTTCACTTTAATTTAAAAGTGAATGCAGCGTGATTGATGCAGCCTTGACAATTGCCATGAATTCAAGTAAATCATTCGCGGCACAAATTGGCTTGGAATGGGAATGGAAGTGGTATGCTCCGCGCTACCCGGTGGGCCAAGTCAGGTGCAGCGGCCGCAACCGCAAAATGTGAGAGTGTCCTTGGCAGTGACAGAAACCCAGGCGTCGGAATCCTTGGTTGGCTGGGACTCGAATTTCGGTTTGTCGGTTTTTTGCTCTGACTGCGGTCACGACGTCGACACAAGGTACGTGCCTGTGTTTTAGGTCCTGGCCGCGACCATTATTAGACTTAATTAGCTCCAAAACACAATGCCTGGTGTGTCAGCGTGATATTTGGTGAAAAAACAGCATATAAGCGGGAAAATTGCACACGCACACGGTGAAACATTTCTACAAATTACATCTTACTGCCCAGCATATAAAATCCCATATAAAATCCACACGTATATAAAATTCTCTACATATTTGTTCTCCGTGCATTGTATCCTTTTTCGCCCGCAGGCTCCGGCATGCTGGGCGGCTGGTGGTTTGGCTGCTCTCCCTCGTCGCCCGACAGCAATTTCCTGCGCGTGGGCAACGTGTTCCCCAACCGGCGACTGTCGGACAACACGCTGATGACCCCCAAGATCCGGATAGCTCCGTCGTGCGCCTCCTCGCCGGGCGGTACTCCTGGCAGCGGGCTGCCGACGCGACGCCACTCGAGCATTGGGCCGCAGGAGCGGCGGGGCTCCACCATCAATTTGTCACCGCCAACTGTAAGTTGTTTGTGTCTGGCTCGGCACAGGGTTTCAGTTTCGGTTTCAGTTTCGATTTTTGACTTTATTGTTGCTGTTACTTTGTTGGCATTCATTTTGTGGCCGCCATTGTTTATTGTGGTTTTTCACCCGTGCCTCTCTGATTTATTTTTGCCCTATTTTTCCGCGGTTGCCATTCGATTGGCCACATCGTCGGCCACAAAAGGCTTACCTTTATTTGACTTTCATTGAGATTTTATTTGATAAATTTTTTATGTGCGCACTGTCGCTTCGTTGTTTCCTTGGTTTGGCTTTTTCAGCAGCTCATGTGCCCGCCGAACTACTCTGTATACTACTGCTACTCTACTACTTATAGCCATATATAGCCATATAGCGCATAGAATAGCGTTTATCGTGTTTACTACAGTCTACAGTTACAGTTCAAAGTTCTAAGTTCTGAGTTGCCCACATGACTACGTACAAAACCAAACAAGAAACATTCCGTTCTGGGTTTAAGTTTTCTCTCCTTGGTTCGTACTTTCATTTCCGATCTGATCAGTTCTGAATGCGATTATGTATAAGCTCATTTCCTCCCCGTAACCGCAGCGAAGTATACATATCACAGATGCTCTAACACACACTCTCTTATATCTTATCTCCCCTCCCCGATCAAAACCGATCAAATATGTAAAAAAAAAATATTATAATATAAACAACCTACGGTGCTTTCGGTGTCTTTCGATCGCCACGAATTCTATTTCTCCATCCAATAAATATAGTACGGTGCCCGCGGTAGCTCTGGATCGAGTCTATCGGTGCCATCCACCTCGGTCTATGTTGTAAGTCTAAAAAACAAAGCAATCCCAGTTTTGTGAATGCGGTTCTACAGTGAACGCTGCGAGCTTCGACCAGGTCGAAGATATGGTACCCTTGAAGGCTGTTATTGAAATCCAAGCTAGTTAATCATATTCCATTTGAAATTATATATTTACAAAAGGCTGCTACTGAAGCAATCATTTATATATCATTGTATAACATTTTGTTAAAAAACTTGCACTAATATTTTCACAACTAAGGATACTTTTCGCAATAATGGAAGCCTTTCAAGGGTATAAGAGAGCACCCAAAAACCAGGTCAGGCCTTTCTGAACCGATTCGTTTGCCATTCTTGTGCGCGTTTGTCGGCAGCACTTTAAGCCAACATCGAAATGGACTTTGTCTTGCCAAGTTGTTAACTGTCGTTTCATTGTTATCGCTGTCGTCTCCAAAAGCACTTCAAAGCCAACTCTCTGTCCTGTTAACCCACACACATACACACCGATTGCCGGCCAAAATGGCGAACGGAAGCCAGGGGATGCGTTTCCGTTTCCGTTTCCGCTTCTGTTGCTCGCTCGCTCGCACTCGTCTCTCGCTGGCCCTTTTCGATATGTGCTCGTATTGTTGAGACTGCAACTGCAACTGCGTTTGAATATGAATTTGACTTGCAGCCCAACTCTCTCGTTCTCGTTCTCGTACTCGTAATCGTTCTTGTGCTGTTATTTGGATGGAAAAACTGTTGCAAGAATATTTAACCAGTTTAATTTTCAAAGTTACATTACACATATGGTTTGTATAATTTTCGCTTTTGAATTCGGTATTTTTTGTGCATTTGCTGCGCTGCTGTAATCTGTTCCTCTACGTGTTTCTCATCTCTGTTTTCGATATTATCATTTTTGTGTGGTTCTCGTTGAGTTTCAAGTTTCAAGAGTCCTGTTCTTCAACTTTAACTGCCTGTACTTCCGTTCTCTGCCTCTTTCACTCTGGTATCGGGCGAAATAAAAGCCTATGCTAATACCCAGTGCGGTGTATATATAATGCAGTGGACTTTGTTCCGTTTCTGTTGTCTTTGGTGTTCTTGTTATGTTCTTTACCTATCCAACGTATCCTATTATTATTTCTAAGTATATACAAAGTGCCTTCAGTGGAGGAGAGTAGCGAAATAATAAAGTTCGGCGATGTAAATTTGATGAACGAATGACTTTTCAGCGAAATAATCAAATTGATGGAGGAAAAATCAATCAAATGGGGCGAGTTCAATAACGTGTACATAAATTGTAGCATACTTTTGAGGGCTTCCAGGAAATCGCTTCCAGATGTGATTTGTCCTCAGCAACAAATTAACTTCTCTAGATATTAGTTTCCATTTAGATAATTAACAAAATATAAGGTCGGAGGTTTGAAGTTTTGATTTAGTTCTCTTAATAAACTGATTAATAGTTTCTTGACCAGGTTTGAAATGAAACCTTACCTTAAGTGTTAGAATATTAAGTTAACACTTATACAACTCAATTATGAAAACATTTTACACTAGTAAATAACAGTCGCCTAGTTATAACAGTCGCCGATTAAGTGATAGACTCTCTTAAACTTATTCAATCGGTTGGATATACAACAGATAATACAACAATTTAGGTTTATTATGCTATACTGTGCCTATACTATATACTATACTATACTTCTTCATTAAATGTCCTAATCGTGCTCAGTGTTAATTTGATTTCGTTTCCATTTGACTCTTTTCATGTTGCGTTCGTATCAGAAAGAAACAAATGAAACACCAAATACCACGTACACCTGAACACTAACACCACTATATCTTTATATATATATATATATGTATTTGTCTGGCGAAAACATTTGAAAATGCAATTGGAAAATCCGATTTGTGTGGCTTTTTTGCTGTTGAATTTTTGAGCAACAGTGCTGTGAATTGATGTTAAACCGGCTTGTTTCTGTATTCAGCCGAAAAATTAAAAAACACAAAACACAAGACTGCGTTTATTTCATGTGTGTATATTTCCGTTCTTCATTTCATGTACGAACAAAACAATATAATTGAAACAAAAATCGAAAATACGTATAATAAAAACAAAAATAAAAATACAAATTCGCAGCTTGCACGGAGCATGATCGTGAGTACACGTTTCATAATTTCGTTTCAGAATTTTCCATTTAATTTTCTCTTCCAGTCTCTTCAACTCACTACCTATTTTTCTGACTCTCAACTATTTAAGGTCTAGACACGCACACACACAAGCAATCGGCAAACACACACGCACACCCACACAGTATGCTGATATTAAATTTTATGTTAATGTAATTTGATTTCATTTCATTTGCCCCGCCCTTTCATGTCTGCGAGGCGAAATTTGATTTGGAATATATGCATAAATACCCAAACGCATTGAGCCTTTTATGTATGTGCATACAAACCTCCAGCCGGCTATATACCCTATATATCCTATATATTCTCATTCTGTTTGAGACAGAACATTTCTGTGTTCTGCAATACGTTTGTATCAATGTTTTATGATTCGACCTATTCCTGTCCGTTGATTGATTGAGTTCGAGTTTGGCTTTGTTTCATTGTTTGTTGGTTTGTTGGTTTGTTCGATTGTTTGTTGGTTTGTTCGATTGTTTGTTGCACCATCAGCTCAATGTATACTAATCTGTCGGTAAGGCCTGGGTTCAGCCAACACACACCCACATCGCAGACCTTGTACATAGCACAGAAACCAAAGTGATTATAATTATATGTATAATCTCGATCCCGAACGCATCCGCCTAAGCAAAATACAAATGCACCTCGATGACAAGCACCGACTAATCTTCCAAAGAAATCTCCTTTATTGTACTCCCAAAAACAGGGTGGCTCCATGCCGAACACATCCAGCAGTGTGCCATTCCTGCTATCATCCAGCATGCAGTCGATAAGGTCGCGCCGCCAGTCCACCGTCCTGTCATCGGGTCCACTCGGCTCCGGATCGGGGCTACTGCAGCAGCTGGGATCCGGCATGGTAAGACAATTAACTTCCGTATCCGGCACGGTTAGCCCGGTGCCGCTGTTGCGGGTAAATGGCACACGAAACAGCCACAGCAACGTCCGAAAGTGTCCGTCACTCAATATCACATTCAGTCAATAATACGATCTGAACGAAATCGGCGAGGCTACGGCCAACGCCGATTCCAGCAGATACGGTTCAGCCAGCACCAGCAATTTCAATTACAATCCCGGCTACAATTACGGCCCCCAAAGTTACGGGCCCCAAAGTTACGGCCACAATCTCAATCAGAGTCTCAACAATGTGCGTTACAAGGCCAAGCTGCGGAGCATGAATCTCAATCTCAATCCGCCACGGAACTAAACAGCCATGTCTATGAAAACCAAAAGAATCATCAGATCAAAACTATGCCATACTATACACTCGTATGGCGCCAAATCGAAGCAAATGGAAGCAAATCAAAAATGCAAGAGGGGCAGAGGGTAAAATGTAGCAAAAACTATGCATACAAGTATATATATGCCAATCAATGAATGATCGTACCTATGTGAGACCTACTATAACCTAGTCATACGTACTAAATACGCTAATCTTGATACTAAAACCAATACAATTACGAATTATCGAACTAATATTGATTATGATATGCATACTAATAGAACACAACTGTTGTTTTTTGGAGAATTTATTCAAGTCCTGTATTTGTATGTACCTTAAGTGTTAATGTTGAAACATATCTAAAAAAACGTAACAGAGTTATCCATCACATAGCCCAAATTGGCTACTAACAGCTACTATTTATCTTTATTGTTGATTGATATTATTAATTATCTTAGTTGTTGATTTGAAATCCCTGCCTAGCAACGAATAAGAGCAAAAACCATAACGACCATGTGAATTGTCGAACTCAATTCGTCATTGGAATATGAAATTTCAGAGAATCCCCAGAAGTTCCCATCCACATACAAACACTGCATGTTTGTGTGCCCAAATCCTTTATCATTGTCGTCCTGAAAGTCGTGCTTGTAAATCCAGCGATAGTGTTATCATTGCCAAAGCCCACATTACCAGCTAGTTTAGCCTAAGCACCTGCACTTTGAATTTATCGGACTTATGTCGGCTTTAAGGACATTTCCCACTCATAGGATAGTTAGTTGAAGTTCGCAGTTATACGATATGATAGGATAATTACCATTGGACAACTAGTTTAAGTTTACCCAGTTAAGTTTCTGTGTGTTGCGGAAATCGAGGTATTTTGTTTTATTTATTAATACATTCAATTCTATTCATTAAGTTCAAACAATTAAATTCGCTCCTTTCAAGGTTCAAACTCAAATTAATGCATGGTTTCCTAGTTTGTTCTTGTACATTAAATCCGTTCTAAATTTAAAAAACTCGTTTTTTTAAGCTATACTAATCACAAAATAAAACAAAGAAAGTTAGGTATGCCCCCATTTCCCAAAAGTTCTGAACACAAGTTGCATGATAAGAGAAATTACTCATAGGATTTTTTAGTTTAGGTTTCACTGGACTAATCAAATAACGAAGTGCTGAATCATAGGTGAAAGAAATGCTTTTTCTGTAAATGAAACTTAAAGCGACAGAAGATGAAATAGAATAAATAGATCCCTTGAAATGCATGCGCCTGCAATTTTATGATTCTTTTTAATCCAGTTGTACAATATTTGTGGTGTTCCTAAGTGTTTTGGAATTGACGTTTTCCATGGCATTTTGAATGTGTCTGTACTACTTGACTTGCCATTTTACTTTCTGCCCATCTGAAGTGCACTATATATATATTCTGGAAATACAACAGAGAAATGAGATAAACAAACGAGCGAACGAAAGCTGAATACAAATCGAATTAAGCTGCTGATCACGGAGATATTGTAATATATATACATTCATACATATGTGTAAACTTGATTGATTGACTGACACTGAAGGCTTCAGAAGGCTGCTATACCTGCTCTCGTGCATACCTACTATATCGATCTGAACTATATGAATCTGTTAACTGACTTACCAGATCTCTATATATGCATTTGTATTGTATTTTACTCTACTACGATTAAGTCGAATTTATGCGAATTTATTGTAACTGTTTAATGTACACTTGGCTATTGCACAATCAGTGTTGCTTTGACCCTTGACCTTCGACCCCCACCCCCAAACACCCGCTTTTGCATTTAAGATTTTTATTTCGCTTTCGCCGTACTTATGATTATGATTCTACTTCGAAATGTGCCTTAAGAGTTCAAAGGTTCTCGCATTCCAAGTGCGTAGTGCGTAGATTGTGCGACAAATCTTAAAGAATATATACATACTATCTATATACATTGTATAACTAACTTGATGAGATCGAGGATGAGTAGCTACCGATACCTAGACAAGCAATGCTCGTAAGTCAACCAGAGCTCCGAAGGTGAGAGGTCACCGAGGGGTCACCGGAAACTCCTCCCGAGAACACCCACACTCATCCACAATTGTACCTTAGTAGTAGTTTTGTAGTCACTCACATCCGGTGGAAATCCGACACACACACGTACATTTAGCCCTAAGTGGACCCTAGTTAAATGTTCGTAGTTTGCATTGCGTAACCCGTTGAACCCAATATACTCGTATATGTATGTGTACATCAGATCCCAGATAATCCAGTTACTCCAGTTACTCCAACCCGCCAATACCGGATATAGGATCCAAACCCGAGAATCGAATCGATGCATGACAACCGAACCCGATGTTAGTCCCATCTATTTTGCTAATACATATACATATATATGTATATATATACTCCTTATAATAACAGTGTATTGTGTGTGCCCCCTTCCCCTTCTTGTCTCCAATCATTTGGTGTTTTTTCCCGTATTCTTAATACCCGTAATATACGTTATATCCGTAACGGAGTGCGAGATACTTCGATACCAAGTAGCTTCAGCAGTTCCCAATATATTTGCCCAGTAGCTAGAAAATACCTAATTGTGTAACAATTCCAATACCAATAACAATACCAATAGCCTATGTATGTATTTTGAAAATCGTTTGAAGCCGAACAACCAGATTGATGGTCTATCTATTTATCTTGCAACAACTCTATTACAGTATCAACTATTCTCCGGACGTAACTAAAGATACAGAAACGCAATCAGATAATTATACATTCAAAAGAATCCAATTACTTTTTAATGCAATTTCGGTCCATTTATGAAACACCAGTAATCAACTTATATTAGCGGTATAAATATATGAAATTATGAAAATTGTAAACGTATACCAAGCGGAAGCATAACTAAGTATTTTCAGTCAAATCTCTAAATGTTGTTAGCCAATCAACTTTGATGTGACCAAAACAACATTATAATCCCAAATTAATTGTTATTTATCAAAAAACAAAAGTGTCAAACACAACCCAATAATCACCAGAAATACACAATCCAGATAAAAACATATGAACACTATGCAGAATGCAATCAATTCCTAGAAATCCGAACTATTCTTGAATATATTTATTGTGAATGTTTACGCTAGGCAAAACAACAAAAAAACAAAAAAAAACATGTCAAATATACCTCTACATTGAACTCGCCTAAATCATACAAAAACACTCACTTAGTTTAAACCATATCACACTGCAAGGGATAAAGAAACAAGCATATATTGTGTATTTATTTTGCAAACATCAATCAGATCGCTATTTCGATGATAAATATGAAATCAAATAAGAGAGAATCGTGTACCTACATACATCGTACCTAGCACCATAGAAATCAAACTTATCACAGAGCTTTACAGCAAACGCAATCAAAAAAAAAAAAAAATAACGAATGAATATGAATAACCTTGATTACGAAAGGGACGTTAATTTTTAGCCAAGAACCTCGAGAGTTCCCGCCTGCGCTTTATAGTGATGAATCCCACATCAATATATATATCTCCACCCATCATCCATCATATATACACTTTTTGATCAACTGGTAACCGATAGATAACTCCAAATACACCCAAAACTACTACTAAGGTGAATACACGAATCCAACCCAAGGTCCACCGATCCAATGTCCAACGATTCGAAATAGAACCAGAACCAGTAATTACTGAAGCCGCTGTTCCCGAAGGCAATCTCAATCTCAAACCCAAATCCAAACTCACATTTATAGTCAATTTGTATAGTTGGGCAGCTATATGCGTAAAAGTGTGGTAAATGGTAATGGTAAACTCTTGAAACTTTATATAGTGAAGACTATATGTCATAGATGTATTCATTACGTAAACGGCAATTAAAGCGATTATTATTGTTGTGCTATGTTTAGCGGCGTAGAAGTGAAAACCGAAAATATGAATTTATATATGTATACAAGCAAAAGCAGGACGAACTCTATCTAGGACACGATACAACCTACTCTACTACATGATATGATATACTCTGTGCTCTGAAACACACGAACGGGAACGGGACAATCAAAATTCAACCGACACTAATTCTATATCAATTTTAAGTTACGTTGCTGTCGTTGTGTTTGTTTGATTCGTTGGATCGGCGTTTGGTGAATGCCAATCTGCTAATGCTAATATGATCCTGAAACTCCAGCATATCCTTGCCATGCACCTGAAACTGCTTTGCATTTTGTTTGGTCAGAATTTGTTGTTTATTTCATCTTAGACAAGCATATCGATATGGTTTACTAGCGTTTAATTGTACGTATACATAATTAGATTTACTTAATTTTAATTAATGTTTACGTGACAAGACAGAAAACTAAACAACCCAAAAACAAAAAAAAAAAAAAAAAACAAAAAAAGATTAAAACAAAATCAAAGAAAAGAGGGGAAAACCAAAAGCTCAAACTGGACTGAACATTTAAGAGTTATATTATGTACATTATTGAATTGCATTTGATTGTGTGAAGATCGTTTTAGTGAGAGTAACTGCGGTTAAACTTAAAGGGTATTATATTTGTATTCGAATTTGTATGTAACTTTGATCGTATGTACGTTATGTTATCGTAAGTGTACCATCCTAGATCCTCTAACGAATTGAAGTGAAGCCAACTCTGTCTCTTGTGATTCTATTGTGATGCTATGGGAGTCAAGCAGCACTCAACTGTTTTTATGCCTCTTAAAGTTTAAAACAAAGCTAATCGAAGCAAAACCAAAACTAAATTACCTATCTCTACTCTAGTCTATGCAATGCTAATTGCCAGCCCGAACTATTGAAAACAATCATGCACAATAAATGTTATGCAATTGAGAGAATCCAAGGCCAAAGACCCACAACTTTTTCTTACACTACTCGAAGTAATTGTGTACAACTAAAGGAATTCTAGATTTTAAATGTGCTAAAACTGTTTATAGTCAAGTACTTAATTATGAGTGTAATTATCGAATATTAATACGTACAATGGTTGGGGCATTTGGCATAGTAGTACTAATGTATAAACGTGGGATCGATGGTTGATTGATGAGGGAAAGGTGCAAATGCGTGTGACAATGTACGTATTTAACAAAAATTGAATTTAAATGTTTAATAAATGTGTGGAAATGAATAAATGGTCTGTACTCAATTACCCTCCAGCCTCTACGTTAGATTCTCGTCCAGGAAAAGTGGATCCAAGCTGCACTTCTGCCGCTGTTCCATGTAATCCAAGCTCTTGTGGTCATATAGGCGCTGTCCCATGCTGCGTGCCACATCGTCGGATTCGTCGGTGTTTGCCATCTCTATAAGGAGCTGTTACACGGGACACGGGTTGGTTGTTAGATACTACTTCAGAAAGATGATTCCTTCCGCTCACCTCAATTTCTTTGGACAAAAATGCCTTGGTGGCATCACTCATCGTCTTTTGCGGCTGGCCCATCAAAGCATTTTCCACAAATTTGTACGCCTCACTGAATTACATATTACAAATAAATAATTACAAATAAATTGAATGAAACCCATTCCTACTTCAAGTCAATGCCACTCAGTTCCTCTGGCGATGGCTTTGTCTCATTTTGGATGATATAGTTCACTGCGGCGGCTGCTTCAAATTCGCAGAGTTCCGAGAGTTGGGAGCTTTTCATGAGTTCCAGCCACTGGGTAATGTTGTTTAAACTAACAGAGTCGCAATTCTTAACCATTTCCTCGCTCCTGCCAATCGTGGTGGCCACATATTCTGGAAAGGATTGGCCGTATGTACTATTACATTGCGCATTACCATTTGTGGAACTCACGAAGAACGGCGTTTGAATAGTTTCGGTTTTGGTGCGTGGATGCTTCGAGCAGGACTTGCTGTGAGTAGCCTAGTTTGTTCAGGTGCCTTTGCAGCTTCAGTTTCACATCCCTCGGAATGCGTGCATTCTTTACTGCGTCTTTTTGAACGCAGTTTTCCGCTTCCGGCGTAAATTGTTGCTCCTCCATTTCAATTGTTTATGTTTACCTTTTGTTAGCGTGACCCTCTACAGCATTCAGTATTTATAATTTAGTATTTTTTCTACCAAGAAACGTTTGAAGTATTAACGCCTCACGCGCTTTGTGGTAGAAATGCGAAACAGTACTAGTTATTCGCTTAGTGGAGACGGTGGCTGCGCAAAGTGCTCCAAAGTCCTTTTGTTTCAAAAGAAATCTTATTCAAAGAACCCCGATCCTTGCGAGGATCGTCTAGTGCAATACGTAGACTAGGTAATTTGCTTTTGGAAAAATAAGGACAGTGCAGCAGGCCGCGGATTTGTGCCTCTTTCTGAAAGTCGCAGAACAAGAACAAAAAGGCGACAACAAAGCGGAGACAAAGAAACGAAAACAAGCGCCAAACGAAGCCTGTCACGGAACAACCTTGAGGTGACTCACTGCCAATACCACTGCCAATACCACTGCCAATTGGAGACTGATCACTGCATCATCCTTGGCGCTCCCAATAAGCGGAGTCACCGGAACAAGTGGGTAAGCCATATCCGGAATGGAGCCGACGGAACGCGAAATTGGAATGCCGAAGAGGCATCGCGAGCACATCCGCAAGAATCTGGATTTCCTGGTTGAGAAGACGAACTACGGGCTGCTGGCAAAGGAGTGCGTGCTCCTGGGCATCCTGTCCGTTCAGATGCTGCGAAATACGGAGGATCTCAATGGGGAGATATTCAACATGGACGATAAGGATGTGCGCTTGGAAAGGCATCGACGGCTCTTCTTGAAGATCACCCAGCGAGGTCCCACCGCCTACAACCAGCTGATCGATGCCCTGCGCAAGGCCAAATGTCAGGAAGCCGCCTTGCTATTGGAATCCGTCGATGAGTCCGGCTCAAGGCCACCATATATCTCGCTTAGCAAACGGAATTCCTCCCGGAAGTCGGCCGATATTGTGGACACCCGTTCACCACAAGACTGCGAAGGAGCCAGTGTCAGCAAGGTAATCATAAGCATACAACAAAAACATCACATGTTCAACAGGTACACTTTGCAATGTGAAATGGTGGTGAAATTACCGCTCAGTTGCATCCATAACTACATACGAAAACTGGAGTTTGGCACAAGTTACAAATTTCTGCGCAGTTTGATTATGAATACAATGTGATTAGATAAGAAATTCATTGTAAACCGTTAACTCATTTAACGTACTTGCTTTCGATTTGGTGCGAAGAATGAATTCAGATATCACAATATAGCAAGCTGTAGAATTAGTTCCAATCTTCCGTAGCCTGCAGCCGCGATCTTATATACATATATTTATGTATTCTGGAAATGGCGCAGTTGCTAGGCGCTGCAGAAGGCGGAGTGATGGGCACGCATGGTGTTAAATCATCACTAGGTCGGTGTGAGAACTCTGACTATGCAATTATGCACATACACTTTTGCTGATCTGTTATATAAGGTATCAGATAAGGTACCTACCATATAAGGTAATCAGATTCTGGCTCAAGTGGCCAAGCATTTCACTTATTTATTTGAGAATCGATTTATTAGATCCTAATAAATAATAATAATTTAAATATCGATCGATACAAATTGAACAATAAAACGCTAGAGATTGTAGAACTACCGGCCTACTCAGTCTAGTGCTTGATAACTTACCTATCCCACTAATTTTCTCAGTAGGGAATGTTTGAGAACAGAACCTTAAAAAAATATGGCCTCTCCACTGTGCGCGTCACTCACACTTGGGTTAATTGTTTTATATTGCAGATTGTACGGGAAACCAATCCCCTATCTTTATAAAACCTTATCTTCATTGCAAATTATCTCTTACAGAGACCCGTACACGATCCGCTCGGACCACTCACCCCGTACACGGGTCCAATTGAGGGACCCCAACGCGTCATAAAGAAGTCGAACAAAATATACACGGATGACGTGGTGGGCACATATAAGATGCAATCCCGTTCGCACCGCGGCGTTTTGCTAATGGTTAACATAATGGACTTTCCGGATCCAGCCCGCGAACGCAAGGGAGCCGAGGTGGACAGCAACTCGTTGATTCACTTGTTTCTCGAACTGGGGTTTACGATTTTCCCCTACGGGAACCTGAACCAGCATCAGTTCTTCGAAATTTTGAACAAGGTGACCTCGTCGTCGTATGTGCAGAACACCGAGTGTTTCGTGATGATACTGATGACACACGGCAATCGTGTGCGCGAGATGGACAAGGTGGAGTTTTGTGATGGATCTGTGGTCGATATGCAAAAGATCAAGAACCACTTCCAAGCGAACATCAGTCCTTTTTTGGTGCACAAGCCAAAGGTGCTTATATTCCCCTTTTGCCGCGGTGATAGTTATGATTTGGGGCAGCCAAAGAATCAATACAATCCCACGGAGCCAATGTATACATTGCAACCGGAGGAGTTGCCTGACGCCCAGACAGAGGGCATATCCAGCTTGAGCACTAATGTGCCAACTCTCGCAGACACTCTGGTCTGCTATGCCAATACGCCGGGCTATGTTACCCACCGGGATCCCGACATGGGCAGCTGGTACATCCAGAAGTTCTGCGAAGTGATGGCCGAACATGCCCACGACACAAGCCTCGAGGATATCCTAAAGAAGACACACGCTTCCGTGGGTAATAGGCGTACCAAGAAAGGTTCGATGCAGACCGGTGCCTTCGATAATCTTGGCTTCAACAAGAAACTCTACTTCAATCCCGGTTTTTACATCGAGTAGTCACAGCCACTGCCCATGATGAAAGCAGCATTCCCGACTGAGTATATGCATTTTTTTTAACCGTATTTACGTTCTTATCGTCGCATTTATGACCTTTAGATTATGTGCTTTTGTGCTCGCGTGCTTCTTTATGCATGTATATTTTGTAACAAAGACTCCTCTAAGTGTTTTTTTAATACGTATTGTATACCTCATTTGGAGGTACGAAATTATGTAATTTATGTGATAACTGCCAGAAATTTACAAATAGTACAATTCCAGTATACACAGCCAGATTTTTGAAATCGAACAACTACTCAAAATGTAAAGCAATTCTCCAGTCTGATCTTTGATTGTGTACATTTAGAAAATAAAATAAAATAATTTAAATTTCTCGACAAACAGCGAAGTGTTTTTATATAATAAAAGTCTATTTACATTCCTAAAAGTCCATGGTGACACTAGTTGTTAAATCTTAGGATCATAAATTTTAACCTATTCATCCTGTTCATCCTCCTCCGCCAAGTGAGACAGTTGTAGTTTTCCCGCTGCACGACTTTGGTCCGATTTGGTTTTGGATTTCCTTGATTTTTGGGGCTTTTGGCCAATTACATACTCCGGCATGACCAGCTTGGAACCCCTTAACTGGGGCTTATCCAGCTCCACATCCTCCACCTCCTGCTGTTTGAGACTCTTGAGCTTGCGGTTGAGTTTGCTGGTCCTTTTGAACTCGATCTTGCCATCTGTAGGCGGAGATTCGTTATCTTCGCCCTCAGCCTCGCGCTGTGCATCCATTTGCCGGAGGAAGGACAAGGCGGCGGCGGAGTTGCTCTGATCGGAAATGTCCACATCGGACAGGGAGTACTTCTTCCATTTGTGTGGATTTACCTGGGGAGTAAGTCGAGCTTTAATAGGGTCAATCAAAATGGAAAGGACTGGAGTCTAACCTGGTAATCTGGCGTTTTCCTGGGCTTCAAACAGCGTCCAATAGGAAGTTCCGGTTTCTTGAAAATGCTCTCCTTGCCGCGCATCCGTCGCAGTCTTCCATCCTCCGTATCGAGGCCAGTATCAATGCTGCGGCCGTGGCGGTAGTTCATCACCTGTCCGGATCCGGAGACGTTTCCGGATTTGTTTCCTCGATCGAGGGCGTTGATGGAAAACGCCTTGGCTTTGCTCTGATCCAAGGCAGTTCCCCGCAACTCCTTGCTCGCATCGTCGAGACATGCAAATAAGGCGTCCCGTTTGGCCGAAAACTCCTGCATTTTACTTAGTTGTACTACACAAATGGCATTTGTTTAATTGCGTTGTGTTTGTCCAGGTAAATTGTTGGCTGCAAAACAGCTGTTTTTAGATGCATACATGAAAACTGTTATCGCTTTGGTATTTTCCATTTCCTGTAACTTGAAGTATTTTTGACTGTCTAAGCTACTATTAAATATCTTTTACAGGAGGGTGGGCATTGCCTATAACACACGTTATAGGGTTATAACAGTTATTTTTGCTTCGGAAAACTATTTTTTTGAATTATTCCAATTATATTTAAGCCAAGGGCGGTATGAAGACAGTATATTTTGTAACATGGCCTCATGCTGGTATATTGTGGAGTGTCGACCCTCGCTAGCCCTGGTCATACTGGTGCCGGTGTATAAAATTAGTGTGCAAGAAGTGTGCTCATTCGCGAATATAAATAAATTAAACAGCCAGGTGGATATTGAATAAAACTAACCCAAACGCGGGACTATAAGTATTGTGTGCATTTCGCAAAGAACGATTCATAGAACAGCTTAAACCAAAAAGGGTTACAGACTGCTTAGTGGAACTCCTAACCCCATGCGGTTTTTGGTGGCAACACCAGTTATTTGTGCTAGGACCTTTTAAATAAAAGTTAAAACCAGATCAGCTATACTTATACATTAACAAATTAATAGAAATATTTGATTGTAACCTTTTTATTTGTGGTTTTGTTAATTTTTGCAAATATATCCCAATTTGTCTCTTTCTGGTAAAAAAAAAATGCATCCCTGGTATTATTTAGTGTTGCAAAACGGCCACACCTAGAGGACAGCTGTTTTTTATTGTGATAGCACTCCAAAATCGGGCAAAAAATCCATTTAATACGCTGCTAGAAACTAAAACTAAACATTTAAAAGTAGTTTTAATTATTATTTTCAATTCCCATTTATAGTTTAATGTTTATAGTTTCCTGATTTCGTGCTACCCCGTTAGAATGTCCCTGCAAACGGGCTTGGCTTTCATTTTCACCATATTAGCCTCTGTTAGTATCGTCGCAGCAATTATTTTGTTGGGTAAGCAGGCGCCCGCAGACGATCACGCTATATTGGCTTCGAATTTCTATGCTCCGAGCTACAACTCATCCGGATATTTGACTCTGTTTTGCAGGCTGGTTCCTCATCTGGAAGGCGTTTCTATCGAAATTTCGTCTGGTTCGCGAGTTGTTGGGTCAGGAGGAGCCGGAGGAGCAGCAACCACTTGCTTGGGATCACCAGAATCAACAGCCACAACAGCACGGCCGAGCCAGGAAAGCTCGCCGAGACTAGGAAGCACTTAATCCACAATCCCATCAACACAGCCTCAACATGAACATCCGCTGCGCAAAACCGGAAGACCTAATGACCATGCAGCACTGCAACCTGCTGTGCCTGCCCGAAAACTACCAGATGAAGTACTACTTTTACCACGGACTCACCTGGCCTCAGCTTAGCTACGTGGCCGAGGACGACAAGGGGGGCATTGTGGGCTATGTCCTGGCCAAGATGGAGGAGCCGGAGCCCAATGAGGAGAGCCGCCATGGGCACATCACCTCGCTAGCGGTCAAGCGTTCCTATCGGCGATTGGGCCTGGCCCAAAAGCTCATGAACCAGGCCTCCCAGGCCATGGTCGAGTGCTTCAATGCCCAGTACGTGTCCCTGCACGTGAGAAAGAGCAATCGGGCTGCCCTGAACCTCTACACCAACGCCCTCAAGTTCAAGATCATTGAGGTGGAGCCCAAGTACTATGCCGATGGCGAGGATGCTTATGCAATGCGGCGCGACCTCAGCGAATTCGCGGATGAGGATCAGGCCAAGGCTTCGAAGCAGGCGGGCGAGGAGGAGGACAAGGTGGCCCACAGATCCAGCGGACACGGCCACTCGCACAACCACAGCGGTCATGATGGCCATTGTTGCTGAACACTTTCGCTGCCGGCGCATGCGGGTTTCGACGTTTTTTGCATTTTTGTGCATTAGGGTTTTGTAATTAATTAACATATAAAACTTAATTAAAATTAAAACAAAAGTAATGACAAACGCGAATGTTTTTAACAAAAGCGGGTTTAGAAGCCATGAATTCAGTGATTCTAAAGAGTAAATTTATTTTTTCTTTAAAATTTTACTTTTTTTTTATTGTCAATCGAAAATTTATAAATACAACTGTTTTTGCAATTGTAACCCTGCTATTGCAACTATTTGCTGTTAATTTCCATCTGTAAAGTAGAGTTTTTCGCTTTCTACAGAAATGGTTTCTGAAACGTGTTCATTTCCTTTGGTACATTTTTTCTGAATTCCTTAAATGATTTAACATTCTTTTGTGCTAGAGGTCCGTTTACCCCAAGCAATGGGTAAATTCATGCCAAATGTGGGTTAAAAAATGTCGGCTTTTTGTGATGTGAAAAGTTTGTTGGCCCGAAAAGTTGGCCAAGCGGAAAGATGTCTTTATGTGCGAAGTGTTGACTTTCGCGCCAACTTTTGGGTGCTATTTCGCAATGCTATCAAGTTGTAGGTGTCGTGCTGGTGGAAAAACGTTTATGGTACATGAAAATGGCGAAAAACTGTTCCCAGCTCAACCGATTTTCCAGTAACGGAGCTTTACAAATTCCCAGTTTTCCACGGAGAGCTTCTTTTGCGCGTGCCCAGTGGAACATGTGCGGCAACAGCTGTTCGCTAGCCACGTGGAGAACGGTACTTTTCCGGATGGCGCCAAAGAGAGAGAGCGAAAGTACTGCAATCACAGCTGAGCTGAGATGCTGGCTTTTCGCGTATGTTCGCCATTCTTAAACTCAGTTCGTGAGGCGCTGGCTGAGCAAAAACAACATGTATGCGGATGTTTTATCACTTCGCGGCTAGCTACGTAAAACGTGCGCAAAACCCAAATCGCAACTTCAGCTATTGTAGTGAAAAGTGCTAATAAAACCTTAAGGGTACCTCCACTCTTTACAAGGGGAAGAGGAAGAGCGAGGGAAGTACGGCTGATGGGTTATAAAAAACTAACGGGATATGACTGCCATTTGTTATGATTGTGAAATAAAAACGCCCTGCTGAATCAATACAAAACGCGGAAACAATGAACAATAAACAATTCGCAAATGAAAAACCCTTTTAAACATATGGAACTGTGAATGTGTTGTGTGTTAACCCGTAAATAGGGAAAGTGCGTAAAGTTCTAAACGGTAAACACACTTTATTGACGCGAAAGTTAACCCCAATCGAATGGGAAATGACTGATTTGTGTTATATTTGTTGGCTATAAGGCCCCGGTAAATCAATAAGGCGAGCGTACTTAAGAAAACCCTTCATTCGGGCAAATCCTTAGAAACCCACAAAACAGTCACGGACATAAATATAAGCGCTTTCGGTGTTGAAAAGCCAAAAAGCCAAAAAGCCGGCCAGTGGTTCAAAAAGCCGGAGAATGGAAGCCAAGCCTCTGCTCTTCTCGTGTTGTTATTGTCGAAACGGGGTCAAAAGTTCGTGTCTCACTCGCTAATTCAACCACACAAAACACGCACACACCATCGCACACTCGCACACTCGTACACCACCCAGATAACGGTTCCTCAAGTGCAAGCGAAGACACTGCGTCGCCCGTCTGGCAGAAAAGCATGAAAAAAGCATAAGAAAAGCATAGGAGAAGCAGAAGAAAAGCAGACAAAAGCATTAGCCAAGTGCCAAGTAACTCAAAACTGCAGGCCTACCGAAACCAGGCGAAAACCCACACACATACATATGTATTTGGAAAACAACACCAAATCCCAGACAACAAACTAGGCCAATTCGCGAGGAAGCGGGGAAAAGCGCCACCGAAAAGCGCTCTGGAAATGAAGAGAAGTAAAATATAATAAAAGTAAAACAATAGCAGTTCCCTGGCCATTTGTCAATGACTGGGCCACTCGCGTGACTGCCGATCCTCGGGAAAAGTGGAATAACTGCAGCTGCAACAGACTCCGGAACAAGGACTACTGCGAAAGTGTTGTGGTAAGTCAACAGGACTACATGTAACATATACCTGGTTGCACTGGACACTTTGCAGCAAAAGGTACCAGCTGCATTTAACCCATAATTTCAAAAGTTCCCATCAAAGTTGTATTGCGCACTAAAGATATAAAATGTTAGGTGCCATTCAATTTTATTTCCATTTAAGAGGCATAATGGGTTAATATCATCATAAAAGTTTGAGTGATAGCAGATAGATAGTGCGGTGGCTGCCCACGCACTTTAAAAATGTGCGATAATAAATCATAGCTACAAAAAGCCATTAGGGAAATGAAGTATTTCGAAGTGATAAACCAAGAATCGCAGAAGTAAGGCCAACAAAATATTGGGTTATTTAAATATCACTGTAATTTGAGCAAATGTCTCTTGAAAACTTTTTCCCCTTGATATGGAAATACCCAGACTTGTGCACATGCTAACCGAACGAACTTTTCCTGTCAGCGGGAAGGCATATTTATTTATTTAAGCTTGCAGTTGCTTTTCCGCCTTCACGGAAAACTTCAAAAGGCATCTTCACTATGTGTGGATGGTGTAATGGCATTTTGTCAGCAGGATTATGCCAAATGCTGGCCTCCATCCGTACACCCCCGTCATCGCCTGCTGATGATGAGCCCCAAACATAACCATCGTCGTCGTCGTCGTCGTCGTCATCATTGTCTTTGTCACTGTCAACGCGTCTTGCATCTGTCAGTGGCAGCAGAAGCATCCGATCCCCCACTGCCAATCCCCCAGCCACCAAAAAAACCATCCCAAAACCCATCCCATTTCGAAATTCTTGTTCTTTCGTGGGGCTCGCATCATTTTTAAGCAAACATTTGCTGTAGCTCCAGTTCTGGTCCTTCCTTCTCTTTGGCACTACTGGCTGTTTGCTCGTGTTGTTTCTGCTGCTCCCGTCAAGTGTTTACTACTTTTTGTGTGCTGCTATGTGTGTTTTTGTTGCTGCTGGCTGGCGGTACGTGTTGGCTCACAAGATGTCAACAACTTTGCCTGCCACTCGCTAAAAAAAGTCAGCTCCTCTGCAGCACAACTCCCCGCATCTGCTTTTGTTGTTTTTATGCATCTCTTTCTGGCCACGCTGATGAAATTTGCAATTTGATTAATTTCCTCCTTTGCAGGATTTCTTTAATTTCTAGAGCATGAAAGGAGCTAACAAAGATATGAAGCCTTGCACAAATGCATCAACATTCTCTAAAACATTGTATGCAACATGCAGCATCAGAACTAAATTAATAATAATAATATACGCATGGCTTTTAAATAACAATAATTAACCAGTAAAAGCCTGGCAAAGACATCCCTATAACTTTTTTAAAAAATATTAATTTATATAGTATAAAGAAGTAATCCATAAGCTTACTACACATTCAACTTTACAATATGCTTTTCGCATAGCTTAAGTAATAAGTTAACAAAACTTGAGTTCCCACGGATACACTGTGCAGCAGTGTGTGTGTTTTGTTGCATGGGCGACAGGCGCAGCTGTCAAAATGCTTAGCAATGGCCACGTGGCATCCGTTGGCGTTTCCGCTTGCCATTTCCGTTTCCGCTGGCCGGCTCTCTGGCCATCTCTTTCTGTCGCAGGCTAGCAAAGGTGATTGATGGCCGCACTCACACTACTAATTAAAGTTATTTAGCGAGTGCTCCTGGCCGTGGCCATTTTTCATTCCCGACGCGTTCTCGTTTTGCGCGGCTGTGGTCGTTCTACTGCAAGTGTTTATGGCTTCAATTCAATTAAACAACTGGGTCAGTTGTGGTCGCATTGGCACAAGGGCTTCCGCATCCTCATTCGCATCCGCATCCGCATTCGCATCCGCATCCGGATCCGCATCCCCATCTATGGCGGGAATCAACTTTCAGCGGCGTAATTAATTCTCCGACTGGGCCCTCGGAGGACAAAGACGCATCATAAGTAAGGCGGCGGCAAAACAAGAAATAGAGCTGCCAGCAAATTGCATTTATAATTCATTTACTCGAAATTAAATATTTCCTCAAATGAGCCAGTCGTAAAAGGCGACTCCAGTGAGCGGACATGGCATGGAAATGCCATTTAACCATCGCTCTCATAGTGCATATTGTATATTTTAATATGTAAATCCTCCTTGAATGGCGATGATTGCAAGGACGGTTCTTTTTAATCTTTTAAATCGCAACCCAATGCATTTATTGCTGTCAATGCTTCTCGCCTGGCTGTATTCATAAGAATATCGGCGCTTTTCATTACACATTTTTGCCGCATTTATAAAGTTCTGAATTCAACTCAGCAATCGGATTCCCAGGATGCACGTGTACTGCGCCCAAGGAACGATTGCCACAATCGAAAAGTTTTGCATACTGCGCAAACATTTTCTCAGAACTTATTTACAGAAACAAGGAACGAGGATGCTGTGCTGCCACAACATGAAAAGTTATTAACGAGTGCGAATATGTAAGTTCTTGAAGCGCTGCTGCAAAGGACACGAGTTGTAAAATCAAAATTTTTACTAAGGCAAGGGGCATGTTCATTAAAAGTTGACCCTTATGCCTTCAAGACGAATATGGTTATCAGGATTTCGGGGTTTGAAAGAGCAAAGCAAATTACGAGTTCTTGGGCCTCTTCAAGGCAAATGTCAAAGTGGCTTGATATTTGATTTGATTCATTTTAGAATCTTAATATTGGCCTTTTTGAATTTTGGCATTTTGTCTCATTATGTTTGCAGTACGCTTAACTATATCCTTTCCAGTTTCAGCTTCACAAGTATCCGCCAAGGAGTTACTTTTTTTTGGGATACATTGTCTGTATGCCCCATTGATTTTTCCAATCACTGTCCACTTTGTTTCAATTTATAAGGTTCTTTATCTGGACCGTAGGAGCCACAACTACGCCCAATTCGCCATTCTTCCTTTGTTTGTGCTATGGCATTTATTTATTTTCCGGTTCCGCCATGTTTTCCTGCATCCCCTGCGGAGTTCGTGTTCCTCATAAACTGTGATTTTTTATTGCTGCTCCATCAAGCGAGCGAAAAAAAAAATGAACAAAAATTCGAGCTGCTCGAGCAACACATAATTTTGCAGCAATGAATGGAGAGTTTAAGTT